TCGGCCCTGATCGCTGGCCAGGCCTAGGGACCCTACTCATGCATGAATTATGTGCATCGGGCTTCTAGTTATACATATAAAACAGCGTGATAGTTGAAAATGAAGAGTTTAGGTCCCTATTCCCCCTCCCGCCAATTTGGAATGTATAATAGGAGAAAGAACAATTGAAAGTTTTTTGGCACAATAACATGAAAAACAATACTGACAAATTTCTCTTGGAGTATATGCATGGACTCTGGAGATGACTAGCAGGGAGGAGTGGTGAGAAATCATTATCTAGGAGGCCAGCTAGGAAGATTTTGGAATGAGGAGGTAATGAGGGCCTGATATTTCTTAACTAGATTTTCATAACCAGATTTCTCAGAACCTCTCATGCTCTTTTAAAATTTACTACCATCTGTTCTTTTATACAAGTGGACTTCTGTCATCCCTATTTCACTAAGAGGTTTCTTTCTAAAGTTACTGATCTGGGCAAATCTAATGGTCATTTTTTGTGTTCTCAACACTTAATGGAGAACCACTGCAGCGACTAGCCTAAGCATCAACAATGGAGGCACTTTTTTTACTTCCCCACCAAAAATATATAAAATTTAATGAACTACAAACAAAACAGAAGCCCAAGTTTTTCAGAGTCTAGATTTAAAGGAGATTTTATAGTGAACTTCAGATCTACGCTAGCAGAACTGATGAAAATAAGCACAACAATGGAATAATTCTTCCTCATGATGTCTTTGATAATTAGGCATCAACTTTCCAGCCTATTTAGATCTTAACTTCAAGTTTTAGCTGAACTTCTTCCTTCTCTACCTCTTAAGGCTTCAGTCATTGTTGTCCTCTCCCTTTTCTGAACCATTGCAGCACAAAGAGCTCAGCTTTGTACTCTTTTAAAAATTGTTTTAGCCCTAGCTGGTTTGCCTCAGTGGATAGAGCATCAGCCTGTGGACTGAAGGATCCCGGATTTGATTCCAGTCAAGGGCACATGCCCGAGTTGCGGGCTCGGTCCCGAGTGTGGGGCGTGCAGGAGGCAACCAGCTGATCAATGATTCTCTTTCATCACTGATGTTTCACTCTCTCCTTCTCCCTTCCTCTCTAAAATCAATAAAAATATATTTAAAAAATATTTTTTAGCTCTTTCTTGTGTTTGACCTTCCTGATTGGCCTTTGTGTTCTTAGATGGCAGGAGTTTTATACTTCGTGTGTGTGTGTGTGTGTGTTTGTGTGAGTGTGTATAAAATCTTACTGTAGCATAGCCCTGTACATATCCTATATAATTAAAGCCTAATATGCTAAGTGTTCAGTCGTCAGTTCAACCAAAGTGTAATATGCTAATGATATGCTAAGGTTGCTCAACTGCTCGGTATGACGTGCACTGACCACCATGGGGCAGACAGTCGACCGGTTGCTATGATGTGCACTGACCACCAGGGGGCAGATGCTCTGATTGGTAGGTTAGCTTTCTGTTTGGGTCCGGCCGATCAGGATTGAGCGAGATGGGCCGGATACACCCTGGAACCATCCTGTGGTCCCTACCCAGTTGGCCAACCTCCTGCGTCCCTCCCCGGCCCTGATCATGCACTGGTGGGACCCTCGGCCTGATCTGCACCCTCTCGCAATCCAGGACCCCCTCGGGATGTTGGAGGGCTGGTTTCGGCTCAATCCTGCAGGCCAGGCTGAGGGACCCCACTGATGCATGAATTTGTGCACCAGGCCTCTAGTGTAATTATAAATTCTTGTTAAATGTTATAACACAGATTAAGTACCTACTTACTATATGTCTTATTATATTGCTTTGACTCATAAAGTCTCAATTAGTGATACTGTTGGAAGGAGACAAGTTAAAGATGGTTCTCAATAGGAAACATCTGCAATATCAATTATATTCCAATTTATAATATACTTTTATATTAACTTTGAAAATATATGTGACTGATGCTTCGGGAATTTGAACAAAATAAAGCTACTCAGTGGAGACTTAATTGAGACAAATAGGATGACAGCATAGTATAATAATAGTCAATGTTTATAGAATGAAATGTGAAGAATAATAGCAGTAACTACTATTATCAACACCACCACCAGTAGCTAACATTTATTGAGTACTTACTATTTGCCAGTCATTGTTCGAAGTACTTTATGTCAGTGAAGTTGTTATTCTCATTTTACAAATGAGGTATGGTAGAAAAACTACTGGATTAGGCATTAGAAGATCTGGGCTCTGGTTTTAGTTCTGTTAATTATCATGTGAAGTTGGGTAAGTCTTTTAACTTCAGCAGACCTTAGTTTTTCATTTTTAGATTGAAGGGATTGGTCTCTAATTTCTAGGGTACTTTGCTACTCTCTTGACATTCTGTGATTTCTAAATTATCTTGTCCCTTTGTTACACAAGTTCTTTTAACCTATTATATGTGGAAGCAAGCATTTCTCGTTGAGATTAGAGAGCAGATTGGTAAGTGTTTTCTTGTGTTTTTTTAAGCTAAAGGTGCTGGATAGAGGAATGTAAAGTTCAGGTTCCAGAGACATGCATATAATAGAAATAAAGGCAATTTGAGAAAATGAGAAAGGTAAAACTGTGGATCTAAATATCTGAAAAACAATCAATAATAATAAAAGCATAATATGCTAATTAGACTGGACAGCCGAACAGCAGAATGACTGTCTGGACGATCTTCCGGACGAAGCCAGGGCTGTGAGGGCCAAGGCAGTCACCATGGTTGCAAGGGCCAAGCGCCTTTCATGAATTTTGTGCATCTGGCCTCTAGTCCTATATAATTAAAGGCTAATATTCAGATAAACGGCTGGTTGCTATGACGCACACTGACCACCAGGGGGCAGATGCTCAATGCAGGAGTTTCCCGCAGTCCCAGTCGCCCGATTGGGTCCTGCCTGCCAACCTCTTGGTCCCTCCCCCCTGCCGGCAGTCTCCGATTGGCCAATGGGGAATGGGGAGCCAGGGGTGGGTGGTGGCGGATGCGGGAGGTGCCAGGCCAAGGCGGGTGCGAGCGAGTGGGGCCCCGATCGCCCCGCTGGTCATCCCACACGCAGAGGGCAATTCGTGTTTGCGGCAGGGGGTGGGGCCGACTGCCAGCAGCTGGGGAAGATTGGCCCTGATCATAGGCCAGGCCTAGGGACCCTATCTGTGCATGAATTTTGTGTGCTAGGCCTCTAGTATATAATAGGATTCTACTGGCAATGCAGATATAATCCTCATGGTTGTTTATAATAGCTAATGCTTAATCCTGGTTACTTTATAGGGCATTAGTACTTTTGGTGCATATGTTATCGTGTTTCATTATCAAAGTAATATTTTAACTGTAGCTACTATTTTTTCATTTTATAGATGAGAAAGCTGGAGTTTAGAAATATTAGCATTTTCATGGTCCCACAGCAAGTAACTGGTAGAATCAGTACTTGAACTCTAGTCTGCCTGACTCAAGAGCCTGTATTCTTTATCATTTCTCCCAGAAGTTCAGATCCTAAGTGCATACCCCGTTGCTTTTTATCTGCAATCACTTGGGATGGACTTAGCCACACATTTTTTTCTTTTCAATGAGGCACTTTAAGTTTCTTACTTTGTTCTCTTTTTCCCGATATTTTGATATCATTTAGAAGCTTTTCATTCTTCTTTACTTTATAGTCAGGGTCACTATTCTTGCTTCTTTGATCCCAGGATAGAAAGGTTGGTACCTTCTGCTGAAAGTTAGCAATTCCATTGTGAAGTGTCATGCTTTTTTTCCCCCTGTACTTTTAATTCTTAGAAGAGCTTCCTCTCCAGAATGTGTTAACCTGTCAGATTTTGTTTTTCTTTTTTCTTTCTTTGGATTATAATGATCTAAAATTTTCAGCGTTGGAGTGAAATACATTACAGAATCCAGATCACTGGATGTTTAGATTAAGCCTGTTCTTGAGTTTTTGTTTTTTTTAAAATATATTTTTTTGATTTTTTTTTACAGAGAGGAAGGGAGAGAGATAGAGAGTTCGAAACATTGATTTAGAAACATCGATCAGCCGCCTCCTGCACATCTCCCACTGGGGATGTGCCCGCAACCCAGGTACATGCCCTTGACCGGAATCGAACCTGGGACCTTTCAGTCCGCAGGCCGACGCTCTATCCACTGAGCCAAACCGGTT